TACTCTGAGGACACAGGGAAGTAACCAGAACAGCTAATGAAGTGAAATGCATGCAAAAGATTACATGTATTGTAGAGGTTATCATCTTTATGCAGTAATGAAATAATTGTTTTTAAATATAGACTAAGCCAAGCTGTGTCATCATCACTGACAGCAATCAGTGTTAGTGTCCCTGTTAAAGACAAAAGTGCATAAGTACTATTTAAAGGTGTGCAGAACTGAAGGAAATATAACAATTACAATAGTTAAAATCTGAGGGAAATCATAAAATATTCATGCATATATGCATGTGATATGTAATAAAAAATAAAGAACTGACTTTGTCTATGCAATTAGGAAAATTAGAACTGAAGGAATGGTGATTTGAGGATCATTTTAATTTACAATAAAGTCATAATAAGAAAATAAGATTAGTCAGACTAAGGTAGTAACCTTTTCCAGTACTGGCATAAGCTGATAAACCTGCAAAATGTCTAGGAACAAACCAGGTTATGTGAGTGCTCCAGATGCTAATCAAGCACTATTCAGGGACTTCCTGAGCCAGATGTGATTTATATGTATTAAGCAGCCCACAAATTGTTAGTTTTTCATGAATTTGTCCAGCCTCTTTTTCAACCTGTGTAAACTCTGACCCTCCATGACTATCTCAGCTACTTATTGCATGAAGAACCACCTCTTATTTTTTATTTTCATCCTGACTCCTGCTAGTTTCATGTGATGCCCCTTACTTCTTGTATTGGAAGTGAGAATAAATAATTTATCCCTCTCCAGACTATCCACATTGCTAGTAATTTTATAGATTGCTATCCTATTGCTCCACTCCTACCTGAGTTGTGTCTCTAAAATAAGTCATAGTTACTGTGACATGTAGTTAGGGCCCTAATGCCATTAAGTTTACTAGAGGTTAGGAGCCTAAGTACACAGGGTAGTTTTAGCATAAGTCAAGGAACAGCCAAGGTTGGAAGACACCTCTGAAGATCATGTAGTCCAACCTCTTTGCTTACAGCAGGGTCAGTTAGAGCAGGTTGCTCAGGGACAAATCCAGTTGGGTTTTGAATATCTCCAAGGATGGATACATCACAACTTCTCTGGGCAACTTGATCCACTACTTGATATCCTGACAGTGAAGAAGCTTTTTTCTTAAATTCTAATGGCATTTCCTGAATTTCAAATTGTGGTGGTTGCCTTTTGTCCTGTCACTGGGCAAGCACTAAGAAAAGTCTGGCTCCATCTTCTTTTCTTCCATCCATCAGGTATTTATACACATTGTTTCTGAGTCCTGAGAAATATTTTGACTGGGACCACAGCAGTGAAAGTTAGATAGAAAAAAAATACCTAGGGATTTTAGTTGCAAGCTAAAGTTGAATAGAGGAAGTTTATCAATTAAATAAATAGAACATTAAACAAAAACAAAACCAAACAAAACCAGGAACTTATCTTAGTTTTACTCAAAATAGCAACTGTAGTTTGTGTTCTGACAACTTACCTGGTTCTTGATTTAAATAAGAAAAGAAAAGGAATCAGGTTATTATAGATTTGCCATTAAGAGAAGGTTGTGAAGGGGTGTAATATAAACTTTGATTTTCATTCACACTTAAATGTCATCTCAGTAGGCTTATTATTAGGAGTCATTTCATTGTTTGTTTTCATGAAGGTTTGTAAACTCAAAAATATTTATATATATACAGGATTTGAATGTCTATGATGATAATAATAAAAGTAATAAAATAACTGCAAAGAATTTACAAACCCAAACTAGTAAAATCTAGTCACTAATATCATATGAAATGTCTGTAACCCAGTGAATTATATTTTCTTCCTGTATTCATTTAATAGAGATTTGCTATTCCATAGCAACACAGTCTTAAGAATTCTTTCATAACAATAATGAAAGTAAATCTAAAATGAATATAGCATCTGCATAACTACATTTTTTACTAGCATGAAGGATCAGTTGTGTTTATGTGGATATGGACATCTTATTCTTAAGGCAAGAATATTTTCAAGGTAGTCACTAGAATAGTTCTGTCAGTAGTCTGTTGAGTCACTCATTGCTCTTTTCTCCATAATGAACTCTGCTTCCATAACCTGGAGTAAATCCTTAGTAACTGTGATTTTATTTTGAACAGCAAAATTTATAGAGCAAATTTATACAATAAGTAAAATTCATGAAAGTATAAGATAGTCAAACATATCTTTGTGCAAGAGACATCATCTACTGTCATTGCTTTCAAATCCTTGCTATTTGACTCACTGACAATATTGCAAATCTGCATTTCAAGAATAGCAGCATTTTCAGATTTGTGTGGTAACATTCTTAAATCCAAATATTAGCAATATTTTATATTCTGATCGCACAGAGAAATTGTCTGAACTTTCCTAAGTAGTGGCATTTTCAGCTTTCTTGGGAGGGCAGGTAAGACTTTTTCCTTCTTCCCTGAAATTCCTTTCAAATATTCTGTTATAGATTTGTCTTCAGTTCTATATGTCCACAATGTAAACTTATCAGCTAGATTTCCTTTGATACTTCCCTTCTTAGCTGAATACTTTACATTTAGACTATTATTTCAGCACCACTAGTGTATGTCATAACTATTTAACTTAAAATGTGGATTTGTTTATGCCAGTGAAGGGTCTCAATATCTTCATGTGAAGAAGGTATTTTACAGAGTATCTTGTGATTTGCGGGGCAGGGTAGGGGGAGCACTACTGGGACATTTAAGATGATGCTAGATGTTTGTGCACCAGTATCTTAAGTTTGAAAATTTAATCAAAAGTGTTTTTCTCAATTCTATCCTTCTGTGCCTTTTAAGCACTATCATCTTAGCTTCCTGATAACACTCTGATAGAATTTGAGGTTTATGGCTCTTTCCACAATTGAGAAAAAGACTATTTTTTTTTTTTTAAAATCTTCCTGGAGGTTTATTAATTATGTGATAGAAACACCTCAGTTACAAACCTCTTAAATGTCAAAAATATGCATTTGGTATTCATTTTGACATTTAACATACAACAACTTACTCTCAAGTATGTATTCTATATGGCAGCATGTTTAAGACCACATTTTCTGCCTACCCATTTTGAAAGTCAGTCTCCCATATAAACTGTCCTGCTTAGAGCAGATGCCAACCAATTGAAGAGACCTAATGTTCACCCAGTATCTGCTACAAATACAGTTTTGTCAGAAGCAAGCACACCACGTGGTATCAAAAAGTCAAGCACTGCTCTCACTTGTGTTGACTTTACTAGTGAAATATATGTAAAGGACTAATACAGTTAACAAGAGCAGAGGTTGGTTACAGGACTGCACATCTGTAAATGAGTAGTGTCAGGTGCTTATTTTAGCTGTAACAGCAGGGTAGGAAGCATTGTTATACACATGCTACATGAGGAAGCATTGCTAAGTACCTCCACAAGTATGAGTTTTGTATCAAGCAAATCTGTGTTGTGACTAGTAGCAAGTATATTCTTTTTTTCAGAGCTCTGCTTTAGGACCACTCTACAGTATCAAGTTGCATTTGTTATGCTGTCAAGATGTGCAAAAATTAAAAACATTAGCTTCCACAGGAAAATTACTATGCTGGCAAATGGGCCCCTCCACTCCCTCTGCTTACCTGTCCTGTGAGAAGAGAGCTTTTGTTGGCTTAGGTTGTCTTTCAAAGAATAAAGGATATCTTTGCTGGTAATGAAAAAGACTCACAAACCTTTCTTGTTACTGTATGCTCTGTCTCTTCCTCAGCAGTCTGCTCATAGAACCTATGCCAATTGTGCTTTTAATGCAACCCTGCCCAATTGTAATGAACAATCCAAAACTTATTTAAATTATGCACCTTTTAAAGTTTCATTGGGAGATTAATTTATACAACTTTGAAATACCTCTACATTTCCCCAAGAGAGTAAAGAGAACTTTGTATATGTTAATGTCAGACTTGTGAGCTAACTATATCTGATAGTTATTAATTCTTCAGCGATACAAAAAGTAAGCTGAAGACCTTAGGTGAATAAAAGACTTCTGAATCATGAAAGAGTCAGGCTGACCTTGCCAGTGCCACTAATCATGAGCAGAGCTCAAGCAGATTGTATAGCACTGGAGAGATTTTAGAAGGAGAATATAAGGATATATGCACTTCAGGGGCCATAAACCATTGTCTTACAAAATGTCTATGCCTTAGAACATTAGAAAACATCATATGAAATAGTTTTACAAGAGATCTTCCGTGGTATATATCTTGCAGATATCTTTACTTCTGTTACCTGCACAGATACATTTATGCATGGATATGTACATAAAATGTGGACAAATGTACTGTTTCATATTTTTATTCTGCCTCTGTTAATATTTTGGCAAGAACAAAATTAAGGTGGTTTCCAACCTCAAAAGGCTTTCTAAAATGCTTGATGTGGGTCTGACAATGAAATACAATGATATGCTGAACTGTAGCAGATGGTCAGTTGAAAATAACTATCTCTATAATATGTATGCCTATAGTACTGACAAAATAACAATCTAATTGCAAAGAAAAGTCATGTGGAGTTCTTTACATGTACTTCTTTAATGATACATGGGAAAGAATGTCTTGGTACTAAAAATACAATAATACTCTTAAAAAACCCTCTCCATTTTACGTTCTAATAATAGTCTTGTTGTAAAAGAAGAGGGTGAGCCAAGGGAAATTTCTTTCACATAGAGGAATAGCTGCTTTCATCTTTTTATTATTTTGGAAAAATGTAATATTTGCATGAACATTTTAAATATTCATTGATGTGTGCTAGGGTCTTTTCCTTTTTAATTTGGACTTTACATCTTCAGAGTGAGTTATAGCATTTTAAATTTAATTTTTCAGTGAAATTTTGGAAGAAGAAATATGACATCTTGACATACTGTTTTATTCTTTTTAAAAAACAAACATAACCCCCAAACACAATGTACATCCCCTCCCCTTAGTTTTAGTCATTAGGTATACTCCAGGAAGTGATCTCCATTTTTGTTCTGAAAGAAGTCAGCATGTTGCTATTGCTTCTTGTCTTAAAGTTCTTGTCCAATTTACCATTCAGTTTTGTAACACCATCACAGCAGACTCTTTACCACTTAAATGATAAAAGTTTCAATAGGCACTTTAGTGGAATTACGAAAAAGCTACCACTCTTCCACCGTGATGCCAGAAAGCTATCTTCTTTCTAAGTCAGTAAACTGTACCTTGTAGGCCTGAGCTTGTCTCAGTGTAATTCCAGAGTAACAAAATAACAACAACAAAAAACTGTATATATTACAGGATTTATCTTTCCTTCGCAGATCAAATCAAAACCAACAGTATGATAAATGTAGTAACTTGCTGGAAACAGTTGCTCCCTTTTATAATCAAAGGAATCCTGTCCTATATAAAGCTTAGGTTTATCTTTTAAATTTACTTTTCTTTTTATTTCACTGTTGTAGTTGTACTTAAGTGACTTTGTCAGGGTTATAACTTTCTTCTTCTCCAAACATGTCTGCCAAGATCTTAAAGCGAGGTCCCCAGTCACTCAGATAGTCATAATCCTGGTCTGCCTCTGTAGTAAGGGAGTCTATAGAGCTGAGAGACTCTGCAACAGATCCATTTCCTTCATAAGCATAGGTTGCCAAGGAGTCATAAGGGGGTGCAGCTGGATCTACATCATTTTCCTGCAGTCTTTGATCAATGAAATCTCTTATGTCTGTGTTATCTTCCACTGGTGGTCTCTGACGCGTAAAACGCAAGGTGTCTGGTTTTATGTCCCTGCGTATTTTATTATCTTCAATCACTTTGGGATTCCTCAGGGCACCTATGTCGAAAGCCTGGGTGTCCTCTTCTCCACCTCCTTCATCATCATAATGGATAACATTATCTCTGATGTCTTCTTTAGAGGTCATTAGAGTGTCCTTTTTCTTCTGCCTCCGTAGTGCTACATACAGTACCACAATGGCTGTAACAAGAGAAATCTGAAGTTAAGACATGCACAGAAATAATTTGGCACTCTGATGACATATCATTATCTCTTCCTTTGAAAGTTGCAAGCAATCAAAGGGACTTTTTTCCTTAGAAGATATGCTCCTATTATTCTTTTAACAATAGCAATGCTCTAACCAATGATAAAGTCATTTGCTGTTTGATGTATGAGTCTAACTTTCCTTAGTGCTTGCTGTGCTGCTGAAGGAAATAACAAATAATTTTCCTACTGGCTTGCTTTGTGAACAAACAGAATTAGACAGGACTTCAGCTTTCTAATTCAGAGAGATAGAGATGGGATTTTTTTTAGAATGTCTTCCACAGCAAAATAGAGAAAAATCTCCAAATTTCCACATTGCAGAGAAAAAAAACCCACAGTAATAAAGAGAAAAAAATATTCTGGAATCTTTAAAATGGAGAAAATAATCCTACTTCAGCTTTTTATATAGCACACTTTGGCCTCTTCAGGGATCTGCTTTGAAAAATCCCATGTGACATGGTTCTGGAGAGAAAAGGTGTCCAGGAGAGATGGTTGATTTTCAAGTATCACCTCCTCCAAGCTCAACAGTGGTCCATCCTGATGACCAGCAAATCAAATAAAGGCAGCAGGACAGCAGGAGGCCTGCATGGATGAATAAAAAGCTCCTGACTAAACTCAGATATAAAAAAGAGACACATAAGAGGTGAAAAGAGACAGGTGAGTCAGGAGGAATATACGGTGACTGTCCGAACATGCAGGGATGTGGTTAGGAAAGTCAAACCCTCTCTGGTGCTGAATTTCATGAGGAACATGAAGGGCAACAAGAACGGCTTGTACAAGTATGACAGCAGTGAAAGAAAAAGAAGAGAAAACGTGGACCCACTGCTGAATAGGTCAGGGGACCTGTTGACAAAGGACACAGAAAAGGCCAGCCTACTCAAAGGCTTCTTTGCCTCTGTCTGTATTGGTAAGGTTGTCCTTCAGGAATCCCAGGTCCCTGAGACCAGAGGGAAAGCCTGGGACAAGAAAGACTTATCCTTGGTGGAAGAGGATCAGGTAAGGGAACACTTAAACAAACTGCACACACAAGTACATGGGACCTGATGAGATGTACACATGAGTGGTGAGGGAGATGACTGATGTCATTGTGAGGACACTTGTGATAATTTTTGAAAGGTCTTGGGGATTGGGAGAAGTTTCTGAGGACTGAAGGAAGTGTCACTCCTATCTTTAAGAAGGGCAAGAAGAACGAGCTAGGGAACTACAGGCCAGTCAAGCTCACCTTGGTCCTGAGGAAAGTGGTGGAAAAAATAATTCTGGAAACCATTTTCAAATATATCAAGAACAGGAAGGAGATTAGGAGTAGTCAGCATGGATTTACAGAGGTGCAATTATGCTTAACTCACCTGATTGGTAGCCTTCTACAATGAGATGACTGGTGGATGAAGGCAGAAAAGTGCATTATTTTCATCCTAACTTTAGCAAAGCTTTTGATGATGTCTCCCATAACAACCTTCTCAGAAAAACTGAGAAAGTGTGGACTAGACAAGTAGACAGAGCGGTGTATTGCAAAGCTGACCAAACTGCCAGGCTATAAGGGTTTTGATCAACAGTTCAAAGACCAGCTGGAGGCCAGTCACTAATGTTGTACCCCAGTGTGAGAGTCGGTCCGAAGTCGTCCCG